TTTCCTTCTCCCATTTGTACCCATGTTCTTAACCATTGCAAGTTAAGCGTTACACTAAATTCCTCGGATTACAGAAAAATAAATCCTCAAACTTCATGTGTTATTTGAAATAATTGATCCTGTAAATGTTTTTCCCCACTATAACAATGCATTTCTTACCTTTTTTCCAAATTGTCAATGTGCAAATGAATTGTTTGCACCTACAACCTTGTCATGTAGGACACTGAAATGCTGCTGAGCAAAGTCAGACTTTCCTAGTTAGGATTCTGACAGCGGGAGGAGTTTTTGTTGACCTTCCCACCAAAGACTCAGGAAATCCAATATTTGAATACAAAGAGATTGCATCAACGATGAGTGGATAACCACCTACTGCAAACGATCAAAAGTTCAGCAAATAGCATTAGCACATAAACCATGATATATTTGAGATTACAGTTGTTTTAAAGACTATACAAGTCCACTTTAGTCTTGTCCTCTGTCTGACTTGACATTAGCTCCAGCCTCCGGGTCCAGCTAATCAGAAATCAGGCAAAATAAAGACACCTAAAGAGTTGCCTCGTGAGGGTAAGATATTAACTTCTTACCTACTTTTTAAAAAAAACTCAAAAATCTCAAATCACCCAATTGATCTATTTGTAGGGAGAGCGAGATCAATTTTTTTTTTGTCTTTAAGCCTTCAAGCAATTGACATTTTGAACACTAAATCGAGAGAAAAGCTTTTACAAAATGTAAACTGAAATATAATTCCAGCACACAGAGGAAGGCAGACTGAGTGCCATGTGTTTGTGGAGCCCAGCTGAACTCCGCCTGCTAAACCAGTCGCTGGCTGTGACAGACTGTCAGGCAGGGGAGTACAGAGGGTGTGCGTGTGTGTGTGTGTGTGTGTGTGTGTGTGTGTGTGTGTGTGTGTGTGTGTGTGTGTGTGTGTGTGTGTGTGTGTGTGTGTGTGTGTGAGTGTTTAAATAACAAAAAAAAAGCATGAGAAAATGAGGCAGAGAGTCAGGCTGACCAATCCAAGGAAACACAATTACACTTGAGACAAAAAAGACACATGCAAAAGTCTGTGAAGGGAAGAATCATAGGACTGATAGTGAGGAGAGTGCATAAACATGAGGAATGAAAGAGAGAGAGAGAGAGAGCAAAGAGAGGAGGAGGCCAAGCTTTCTGTGGCTTAGCCAGACTGGAGCGGTGGGACTTGGCTGCTTGTGGACCCTTGGCTTCTGTATTAAAGCAAGGAAAGGAGGGAGTGGGTTTGGAGGTGGTGGGGAGAGAAAATCACAGTTAAAAAATGAAAAGGGCAACAAGCTATGCCAAGAATGCACAAGCAAGAAGTAACACATTGGGTTCTTTCCTTCTGCCTGCCTTTCTGTTTCCCCAAGCAGATCTAAACAATAGGTGGGAGCAACCTTGAGAACCAAGCATTATAAAGTCAGAACCCTGCTGAGTGAGTTGGGTTGATTCTTGTATAATGAGCATAACATCCCCTAATAAATGATATAAGGCTCCTTTGTTCTATCTCGTTAGAAGCTTGAAAGTAGACAAAAGGCTTTTTTTGCCCCATCTGAAATCAAAAGGAAATATGACACATTCAAGCATAATTTCAGGCACACTTATGTCTTGGCAATACTTAACAATTATTATTATTATTATTATTATTATTATTTTATTATTATTATTTATTATTATTATTAGTAGTAGTAGTAGTAGTAGTAGTAGTAGTAGTAGTAGTAGTAAGTATAGTAAGTAATAATACTTACTATTATTTTGGGTTTCTTCCATATTTTCCAATAAAAACAATTAGATCTTGAGTTCTAAGACTTGCTGCATTCAGCACATAGTAAACTCTTTAATAAATGTCAGAGTTAGGAGCTAAATTCATGACTAGGGCAGTATTGATATATTTATATTAATATCATTTGATATCGATGCAAGAAGAGAAATGTAAATGTTTAGACATTTCATGTTTTGATACTTATAGGTTTAGATCCCTATAAACCCATATTTGATAAACTGCGTATTGTCGTTGACAGTGCTTCACGAAAGCTTCAAATGTCCGTAAAATACAAGAAGGCAGAAGATGGGACATTTCCAAGACTTTTCATCCTGACCCAAACCAACTTGTTGTTGCTGGCATGACATAAATGTGGAAAAATTGTCAGCTTGTCATCTTCTCTGCTTAAGCTGTGGTCACACTGGTTCTTATCTTGCCTCGTATGCTGGGGTACCTAAAACCACGTCTTATGTGGCTGCAACCAAAATGACGAGTCAAAGAAGGACAACTTCTAATTTGCAAACTTAGGTGTATAAATACATGCAAAATATTTTAGGTTTCAGACCAAACAAAACATCAGACTTTCACAAAACAGTTCCTGAAGGACATTTGGGTCAACAGGGTCCATACAAAATTGCCAGTAATGTTGCTGCTTGTGCAGATTGAAGAGATTTATAATGATTAACATACTATGAAGGAGTTGATCATATTCTTGTAAAAATAAAATGAAATGGAGCAATTGATTAAAATATTGTTTTGTGAAAACGGAGATGTAATTTTATTGATTCATCCACCAGATCCGGCCTGTAGTGCTGTTTGCATTATAACTTTAATAGTTTTGTTTGTAACCCTTGTGATAAAAAAAGTCATTTCTATAGTACTTAGACTCAGTCCTATTTGCACGCAGGGTCTTTTACCCCTAAAAACAGACTGAACTGAAATTAAAGACTTTATACATTTAATCCAAAACCAACTTAAATATGACCTCATCACTAATCCTTCACTTAAACTTTACATCTGATCAAATCAGGACATGAAAAAGTGAAAAACAGAGGCATATTGTCACACGCACCAACAAACAAAAACATTCATCCAAAGGCTTTTGTTCAGACCTTCCAAAACAACAAAACATCCCATAACGCAATCAGACTGACTCAGCCACTCATGACTGCTAATCGTCTAATAATGGCTGCCATGCTGTAATCATATCACTCCACAGAAGCATGAGAGGATTTAGGGGCTTTCCCAGATTAATACAGGAAAAACAAGGAATTATTACCCTGACTTTTATTCACTGATATCTTCAGTAGAGGATTACGGCCTTTGGACCATCTGACTGCAGGAAGACTAGCACAGCAGGGGTAGATTTGTGGGGTGAATGAAAGAAAAAAAAAACATCCCAAATATGGGTCACCACATCACAACATATAGAATTCAAGAAAAATTCATTTGGCAAGTCATCATCAAAAAGGCAAATTGAGACGAGCTATGCCTTGTGATAAGGAGGCAATATAATGTAGTAATAAAAAAAATTCCATATCAAAGAGGGCAGTAAATGCAACTCAGAAAAAGTTTAATAAAAAAAAAATGAACATGATAAAAAAGTTTTGAAAAGTTATCTTCACATGGTCTTCACAAGCGGATGAAGACAACGTCTTCATCCGCTTGATTTTCTCCACCGCATGTCACGTACTGTGAACGCAACAGCGAGCGTGTTGCTGAGACGAAACCCCAAAGCAGTGTCATATTCTGGGCTTGGAGGTGTAAGGAGGATGCCAAGAGTTGAAACAGGATGACTCGTGACTGTGTGAGTGCAAGGTGGAAAAAAGACACCTTTCGAGGGCTTTTTTTCTGTTATGTCTGTGTGTGTGGTGTGTGTGTGTGTGTGGCTGGTGAACATTCATGTGCATGCATATGTGATACATTCAAAGTGTGTGTGGGAAGAAGGAATCCTTCCAGCCGTTTTCTTTCTTGAACCTCTTCCTGTGTTCCAACCCTTCAACTCCTCCCAGCCCACATGCAGTTCTCAGAGCCACACCAGAGGACACAGAGGAGAGAGAGCAGCTTGAGTTCTCTCTCTCTCTCTCTCTTTCTGTCCTCCTCCTTTCCACCAGTCGCCTGTAAATCCCTCCAGTTCCTGCCGACACCTTTTCCCATGTCTCTCCATCCAGTTGGTGTTGCTGTTTCTCATATGACTTGGCAGAAGTGAACCGTGCGTGTAAGTGAGCGCCAGTGCGGGAGTGTCTGTTAAGAGTTTTGGCAGTTTTCTCAACACGGCCTCAGCTAAAGATCCACTGGGAAATGTGGTTTTAACGCCCCCTCTCTTCTCTCCTCCTGTTTCCGTCCTCTCTCTCTCTCCCTCTCACTCTCTTTCTTCACAATTGCGTGAGTCCCCTTCTCAGTGCTTTGCTCCCTCTTTTGTTTTTTGGGTTTTTTTTTTCTTGATTTTCTCATTATTCCCTTAATTGTGTTTCAATTTTATTTGAAAGCAACTGGTGGAAATCTTCTCTCTCAAACGGCACCAGTCTCTTATTATTTTGTGTGCATATTCAGTGGCTGTTCTTTATTTAAATCCCAACATCATAATTTGCATCAAAAATCATTGTGAGTTGTGCATGCATATCAGACGCCAGCGATTCAGGATGTAGCTCTCCAAGTGCTGCCTGTCCACACACAATGAATGCTGATGGAGAGACATGATAGGTTATCCTTTAGGGAAGCCTGGTCAAATGAAATAACTGCTTGGTATTCTATTCCTCTGCAAAGCCTGGCACACAAGAGAAGGATGTTGGCAAATATGCAAATGAAGACATCCTGTATATATCAAATGGCCCTATAAAGTTCAGTGAGAGCCACATGGATTTTTGGAAGAAAACCTGGGGGGCACAAAATCTAGGACATATGTTTTTGATGTGTACAAAATGACAGCAATGTATTTCAAAAGGTGGATAAAGCTAAAAAAACAAGTTCCTATTGCAGGTTTTATTTCTGGAAAAACTGAAAGTTATATTTGAACTCATATAAATTATGAAAAAAAAGAAGAAGTGCTGGCTCGTTCTCGAGCTACGGAGAGCGAGCGGATGAAATATTTGTTCAGAGACATAGCATGTCTTGTGTTTTCCTTTACAAACTCAGTAAAAACTGGACATACTTGAAAATGTAGCTTTCCTGCGAATCGCGGTGCTATTAATTATCGTGTAACCCTGACTCGACTCTCCGCTTAAGTGAAATGACTGTCTCCCCAGAGCGGCAAGGCCTTGGGGCACCAAAAGCACTGAAGGAAAAAGAAAAGGTAAATTCTTTGGTTGTACCCCGAATAAGTTTTCTAAGGTTTATTTGCATGTCTGATGAGTAGGGAATGGAAATCATTTCAAATTGTGTGCATTATAGCACAGAGTGACTGGACTATATTTTCCACAGTATCGCCACATTTATCATATTTATCTCTGAAACGTAATTATTAATGTCATTCTGAATGTTTTCTATAGAATAAAAGTCTGGAGATTAGACTGTCTGGTGTATAACACAATTCTTGTTGGCCTGGAACTGAGATGGTGCTGATTTCTTTGGAGTGATTGTCAGGTTCTAACATTTCAACAATATAAACACTAGAAACCTGTAAATGACAATAGCCAATCACTATTGTTTATGTTATTATTATTATAATTATTATGATTGTTGTTATTTGAATATGGTTTGCGTTCTCGTTTTCTGCCCTGTTGTACGGTTTACAGCTGTCATGCTGCGTGTCAAGATTCCTATCTAAAGAGTTGCAACCAGAAGTTCTCTAATTTGAGATTCCACTTTTAGCCTCTGTTCTGCTCTGTAATTGTTAGGGCTATCAGCTGAAATCCATGGTTAGACCAGAAATGGTATGTATTCAGTATAAGATGTCACAAAATAAATGGAAGGTCAAAAATAAATAAATAAATAAATAAAGGGTGACAAAATGCACATTTAACACTTCTCCTGGGTTTGGAGTGTTGTCATTTGATGTGAGCATTGCCCACAGAAATAGCCCAAATAAAGGTTACGATTACTCAAAGAAAACCTTTAATGGCTGTAAATCACAGCGTGCCAAATTCTGCAAAATTCCAAACCACAACACCCCAGCACCACTGAAATGACAAAACTTCAGAACATTTTCAGCGCGTCATCTTCCTGGTACATAGATTATAATGGTGTATGTAGTTTATACACATTTAAAGAAATAAAAATTGTTCAAGTGTACGTCAAGCTATTCAGCTTAAACTTATTACTGGCAAGCTTGCAGATATTTCAGACCTTCAACTTTGGAGACGAGCTCCGAGTCAATGAGTTTGGAAGCCCTTCATCTCATCATTCTAATTTTTAGCTACCTTTAAGGGTTTTATTCAAATTTGATTCAAGTCAGTTGATATAACTTCCAACCAGCAGAAGCTTGCAAGTAAAATTAAAACATTAATCTTGCATCACACATTTTTACTAACAAGACTGTTGTCTACTGTCTCGATATGCCAAACGTGTGTAATCCATGTTTTGTCTTGTTTTTCAGGCCATTAATTCACAATACCATTTCCATATCTATGGATCTGCACTTTGAAAACAATATTTGTTCATGCAGACTCCTGTAATAATAAATGATAGACACTTTAAAAATGAAGTCAGGTCAGCGCTGTTGTAGCTGCTGGTGGGTTTAAATGGAAATGGACCCCAAATAGATTCCTGCTTAGAGCCTCATCCACGATTGGGTCGGCCACGCTTGGCGGCTGTTTTTTTTTTTTCTTTTCTCTTTTTTTTGGAGTGGCGGGGAGCGGATATTACCTGCTGGAGAAATCCTAAAAGGTGATATCACTTTCACTAAAGGAAAGCACCTGAATGTTTCTTCCTTCTATGTTTTCATGCGACCAGCCAGTCTTCCTCACTGACTTCACCGATCCTGTTCCACTCCGTTTTTTTTTTTTTTTTGTTTTTCAGAAGTTTATGACAGTTCGCCTGCTCTCCCCCAGCTGAGCTGTTTCTGACTACTGTTACCTCGCCCTCCCTCTCAGGGTCTGCCTCCATCACCTGTCTCGAGGGGATAAACGCCACCCCCATCCGCCCCTATCTACCCCTGCAACCAACCCAGCCTCTCCGTGCCTCACCCTCTTTTTGTGACGTCATTGAAGAGAAGTGCAGCCTTTGTGTGTGGTTTGTGTCTGTGTGAGTCATTACACAGCCAGTGTGCTTGTGTGTGTTTAAGTATGTGACATACAGAGAGAGAGAGAAAGAAACAGAGAAAGAGTGAGAGAGAGAGGGGGGGAATGGACCGACAGGAAAAGAAAGGGAGAAGTATTAGGTTTCCCATTTTGATTCAGAAGCTCAATTCGTTGTTTGGAATCTAGAAAATAGGGAGAAAGGAGCAAGAAAGAGGAGAAGATAGGTGGGAATCTAAGCTCCTGACAGCTGGTTTTTGTTCCTCCTTTCTTCACTCCTCTTTCATTCCCTCTTTACAACACCATCGCTGTGTATTGGTAAGAAGCCATAGAGTAAAATATCAGCATTTTAGACCCTTTGATGTCTTTCAAAATGATTGCAGGATGTGATCAGACACACCACCTGACTCTTTTTTTTTTTTTTTTTTCACAGGCGCCAGCTTCTCAAATCTGAAATCTCAAACTTTACTCTCTTCCTGTGACGTCTGGCCCACCGCATCCGGATCTGACTTCACAAGATGCTGACATACTTGCAGTTAAACCGTTTTCCTGTCGAATTTTCAGTTCACACTTGCACGCACACGCATGATCTTTGTACCTGCACGATAAATAATTACAGACCATGGTAGGCTACTGTCCAATTTGCGGAAAGCCTGTCTACTTTGGTGAGTCTGACCTCTTTAAAATTTTACACTCTGTCTCCCTACGCCTTGGCCAGCATAGATGTCTGTTTTTTTCAGTTTTTCATTTTTTTTTTTTTTTTTCCGGGTTGCAATGTGGTTTTGTCCCTTCTTAATACTTGAGCCTAATATTGTGGAAAGAATGTGTTAAAAGTAGGAGTATGTGGACATTTTAAGCTCATGCCTCCATTTCCAGGTTATAATCATGTGCCTGTAGAAGTGAAATTGATATCATAAACAAAGACAAATGTAAATGGGCCACGACCGTTGTCATGTGTTTGTTTTTCTTGTGTTTATTTAGGGCGACAATTAATGCTTTCTTATTTTGTGTTCTGATGGAAAGCCTAAATATTTATTGTTTTATTTCGATCAGGTTTTTCTACTTCTCTTTGAACCGCTCACACACACACACCTAGATTCAAACCCCGGTATCCATAATAACAACAGGATGTGGGTCTGCCCAAACGAGCTTGCACGCTGCTCTCAGGGTTTCCTCCTCACCTTCAGTCTCTTTTAGTTTGCCGCACGCAGAGCCCTCGCTACATGTAGCCACGCAGCAACGGCTGCAAGTCTGCTTTGTTCTTTCTCGAAACAGTTTTTGCTTGCCCATCCATTTGCCTGGGAAAGTTCAGATTTTCTAATGTGACCCAGCCTTCTCATCTCTTTTCCCCTCAATGGCGCAAAGCCTGGCCTATTTGTGTTGGGGGACGGGGAGCAATCACTTCATCTGGATCAATTCCCTTTTTAAAAGATGTACAACTAGTCATTTGATTCATTCAATGAATTTTTTATTTGTAATTTTCTAAAATATCACCTGGATTTGCGGAAGTTCGTATTATGACTGACGGATTGCACTTTTTGTGTGCAGTGTGGTTTCCCTATTGATTTATCTGGTTTTGCTTTTTTGTCACACTTCAATGTTTTAAATAATCACAAAGCGAAATTCCCGACAAAGATGACCCGAAGGAAAACAAAATGCCAGAAAAAGCTGCCCAACCCAGCCTGTCCATAGCATGCTTGGGCCAGTTGTGGTCTGATAATTGGCCTTTTACATCACTTTAGAGGAATTCTGACCCAATCTGCTTTCTTGGACTTTAGCGATACTGGACGCGTTTCGAGAATGAAAATCACTCCAGTCATGCAACAGCATCTAATTTAAGTCTAGGTCCTGACTCCTTAATTATTATTTTTTTCTCAGTGTTTCATATGAGAACTTGCTGGTGTGTTTCATAGGAGGTTCTTTTCGTGAAACGTTTTAGAACAGGACACACTCCTTCCAGAAAGTTCCACTTTTGTCTCGTCAGTCCACAGAATGTTTTCTTGAAAGTCTTGGGCATCATTAAAATGTTGCCTGAGGAATGGGGGATGGGCTTTTGTCTTCTTTAGTCAGCTGTAGTTTTGGCCCATGGATGGCATCTCTTGGTTTTAGCTCTATATGAAGCAGTGACTGTAGCTGAGTCACTGTAAATGTTGTTCTGCGTTCTTTGGAGAAACTTTGGCAGTCTGGCAACTCCTGCAAGAGTTCGCCTCCGATTCATATTTACTTAATTCTCATCTGTTCTTGAATTTCCTTAAAAATCCTAATGATTTTTTTAAAAAAATATATTTTTTAGTGTTCTACATGTTGTCAGACAACTTCTGTTTCAGTGATTTCTTTATTGTACAGTACAGGGAGACATTAAATGCTGTGGATGTGGCTTGGGAAACCAAACCAGAAAATTGTCCTTGATGGCACTTATTTCATGACCAAAAAAAAAATGCAACTGTGTTTTCGCATAAGGTTACATATGACTGAAAAGCAAGAACAGATTAAATTTGTAGAGGATGGAAATAGTTTCTAAGACCTTTCCCAACCCAAGGATATAAACTGTATGTAAAAAAAAATAAATAAATAAAAAATTATAATGTAAGTTCACTAAACACACTGACTGTCTAAGATATCCCACTTAAAACACACTTTCACCAAAATATTTAGTTTTAATACTTAGTAGTATTGTTAATTATTTTTTGCGACTCTGAACGACCAACTTTGTCTTATTTACAATCAGTTTTTCAAAATATGTTATGCCCTGTAAACATTTGAAAACAACACTCCAAATCTCTGCTTCGTAGAAGTTGCATGCAGCAATCTTGGATATAGAAATCTTCCCAACATGTTGGAAGACAATGAGTCAGGTTTTTGGTTTCAAAGGTAGATGTCTGACAAACATGCATATCAAGAATTACAAATTGCTTTGTCATTAAAGCTGCATTAAATCTGTTCTGTATTTAGATAGACAGATAGATAGATAGATAGATAGATAGATAGATAGATAGATAGATAGATAGATAGATAGATAGATAGATAGACAGACAGACAGACAGACAGACAGACAGACAGACAGACAGACAGACAGACAGACAGACAGACAGATAGACAGATAGATAGATAGATATAGATAGATAGATAGATAGATAGATAGATAGATAGATAGATAGATAGATAGATAGATAGATAGATAGATAGATAGATAGATAGATAGATAGATAGATAGATAGATAGAATTTATTGTCATTGAACAGGATTCAACGAAATTTCTATTGCTACTCCCATGCAAAAAGTCAAATATATACAATATTAAATAAACAAACACACAATAATAATAATAATATATACAACTAAAATGAACTAAAGGCACTCAACCACACCAAAGAAGAAGCAGCAGGTCTAATTATGGTAAAGTGCAGTGCAGATGATGTGAAGCAAGTAAAGACATATTTCATGTGTACAGAAAAAAATATGTTCCACTTTAATAGAAAAAACGCATAAACTGCTCCTCATTTAACTGCTTTTTGTCTTTGGTGCAGGGGAGAAGAAGAGGTCCTTAGGGAGGGACTACCATCCTCTATGCCTGAAGTGCCAGAAGTGCAACAGACAGCTGACGGCTGGCCAGCATGCTGAGGTACATAAGGAAGATAAATGAGAGAATTTAAGAATGAAAAATGAAGAACACAATCTGACTAAGAGAAAACGATGACGCAGTAATCATGTACCGATGATTGCATTGCAGTACGATGAGAAGCCGTACTGCACACACTGCTACTTGAAGATGTTTGGCCCGAGATGTACACTTTCAGGTGACACTAAGAACACACATGCACACAGTCGCACACACACGTGATTTCTGACTCTTTCTCCCATGTTTGAATCGTTCCTCACAGGCAGCAGGTGAAGGACGTTTCCGTAGGACAGGGCCGTGGTCTTCATCTTTGGTCTTCATCGCCCAAACCAGACGGAAGCTCTACTAGTAAATACTGACGTCTAAGACCAGGCAGCTGAAAAGCCACAAAATGTAGAGGCTTTAATGATAAATAATGATGAGCGTAAATCTTACTGTTGTTCTCTTTAAGAATTGAATATCTACGAATAAGGGGTGGTTGCTTGAGTTTTATCATACTGATTGTAAATTTAAACTGACTTTTTTGCCTTACATTTTCAGAACTTTGTGACTGTATTTGTTTTTTGTTTTTTTTTTTTTGCTGTATTTGCGATTATATTTTTGGTTTTGAAATCACAAATCAATAACGCCATGCAAAGTATTCACACATCCACAAACCTTAATGTATTTTATTTAGATTTAATGTGAGGGACCAACGCAAAGTAATGTCACATAATGGTAAAGATTGTTAATTACACATTGTTTTTGAACTCTCTAAAATAAAAAAAATGTGGAAATAAAGCCCTATATGCAACACATTGCCTTCACAACTCCCTGTCTCCTTAACAATTAACAATACAGAGCCCTCTTGTGTGTAATTTGATTCAGGTGTTCTGGGAAGGCTTTGGAGGAAAACATCAGACAGGTCAGAGAATTTTAAAGTGGGGTAAAAAAAAAATGCACAAGCTTTACAAAAAGAGAAGTGTCCAACCCATTAAATGCAAAGTGAAAAAAATAAAACTAAACTAAGACGATACATGTTGGGAAAGGTTTAATTGATTACTAAACATTGATTGGAGAAGCAACCAAGAGGCCCCATGCTAAGAAAACAACAAGAAGTTCAGTTTTCTGTTTACCAAGTGATGCTCAGTTTGAAGGAGAACAAATCTGAACTTTTGGGACTACAAGAAAAAACAAAAGTGTACAAGAAAGAACTGAAACCATGCCACCGCTACAATGAAACGCATGATTACTCATGTAAGTGTGCTTTTCTTCAGCAGAGAAACGATGAAAAGCTAGATGCGTAGACGTGGGCTCATAAGTGAGTCAGGCGGAGGTTCACATTCCAGCAGGACGAGGCCTCCTAACATACATCCTTACCCCTTTCTAAAGTCAACCGAGAATCTGTGACAAGACTGATATTCACTCTCCCTCCAATCCAAAACACACAATTCTAAACAATGATACTTGTAGTTGTAGCAATACAAAATGAAATATATATATATATTTAAAAAAAATCTTCAAGGGGTATTAATACTTTTGCAAGCCAACGTACATGCTGGCACCTATTTGGACATGCAGTGCACCTAGATTCTCTCAGACACACTCCAATCACAGATAAAACCCATGCAGATGAAAAATGAGTGGAGCTGTAGGGCTCTTTCTCTCTCCCTCATCAGGCAGCCAAGGGGGGAAAGAGGGAGAGGATAGAAGCATGGGATGGATACGGGTGGTTTCTGTTGGCAGGGTAAACCACATCTTTTGCCAGCAGAATCTGCTGGAATGAGCGCTACAGGGGAGGGAAGGACAGGTCTCTCACGCTCTCACGCACGCACGCATCGGGGCAGTCGTGTTCTCACTGCTGCGGGGGCTTGTCACCCATATTTCCAGTACTCGCCCATGAAGGAGAAAGGGATATTGAACTGAAGAACGCATAAACGATTGAATGTGAATAAAGCAATAAGATTAGACCTTCAGAAACAATAAAACAAAAGCTACCAGTCATGTTTTATTACTGTCCATCTCCCTCTTCTATCCCTCACTTCCCCCGCCTTGTCTCCTTCACCTCCAAACCCTCTACCTTGATCATTTGGCTGCTGTGTTACCAGCTGGCTGGCTGCTTATTTGCATGAGTTTCAGCTAGCCTGCCTCATTAAAAAAAGACAAGCACTTGGTGAAAAGGCTGAGTTTCAGTCCTGACCGATACATTAGTTTGGTTTAAAGAAGCCAGGGCGTCTTCTAGTCTTTTAAAATGCTCTGGAGCAGTAGTTCTCCAGACTTTTGTCTCTACTTTCAAAAGTTTATGTGGTCTATGAAACCTATTTGGTTTAAAATGGCCTATAAGGGATGAACAAGTACTGTAAGTATGCACAAAAGAGATATCAGTACCAACAAATACATATTTAGTATTAATTTTCACAGAAGGTCAACTCGTTATAAGAGTTTGTCCGACACCAACACAAGTGGACACCCATTTTAGTTTGTGAAATGTCAAAGTATGACAGTTTTAAACACACAAACAAAAAAAAATTTGAACAATATGGCTAATCATAAAAATCAGATCGGATAAGCCAATATTTTTGCGTCACAATACGATACATGGACGTATTTAGGAAATTAGACAAATGGAACTTTGAGAGGAGCATCAGACCCGAAGGGGTGAGAAAATACAAATGACACAAAGTTCAAGTGGTGTAAATACTTTTGGAAAGTGCTGCACATATTCAAGTTTTGCTGGTGTTTATGCTTTAATGACGCATGTATTACTGCTCGTTGGCAGTAATACATGTGTAATACGTTTTACACAATAAGGTGTGTAAAACTAGTCAGAGAATGGATTTAAATGAAAAACTCTGTTATAATATGGAGCTAGTGAGAAAGACCTAGAGGCAGAATCGGTCACAGTGTCTACATGTTCTTGAAGCTGATGCTAGCCAAACATTGAAAAACATGATTGCCTAGATAATGAAAACAAAACAAACAAACTGAAACCGTAGGGTTCTATGTCTGGTTTCACTTGTGAATCAACATCGACATCTACTGGTCAATAATAGTAACTCGCTTTCAGTGAGCTTGCTTTGCCAATGACACAAGTATGGGAAGCCATGTGTGCACATATTGCGTATCCTGACAATCACCGCCGTTTTGATCAAATGTTGTTTTTTTTTGTTTTGTTTTGTTTTGTTTTAAACATCAATTAACAAGTAGGCCTACGTGATAATCCTGGATGACGGGGCCAATGTTATCGTCAGTTTGCTTAGTAGCGGAGTTTCTACTAGAAAAGATTAATTCAAAAAAATTAATTCCTAGCCTACTTGTCTTTCTCAATGTTGCACAGTATTGAATTAGAGCGAACAAACGTAACATGTGTAGGAAACTAGTTGAATAATTTTACAAACAACTTGCTATGATCTCGAAGAAACTTCAGAATTGATTTAAGTTATTTTTTACACTTGTGATGTTGATAAAGTGAAAAGATAATAAACAGATTCATCGTGGTTATTAGAAACTTCGAGTTCTGATGTTTTATATAGCACCTGAAGGCATCTCCAACCTACGACCATCTTGCACATGCGCAAAGAACAAGGAAGGAAAGGAAAAGGCTTGACGACGGATTATGTTGGCACTCTGGGGGAGCGAAAGCAGCTGCTATCAGGTGATAACGTTTAGGATTACGTCCTCACCCAAACATGGAATTCGTTTTAAAATGAACGACTAATAATTCGAAGAAAAGAAACTGCAACCAATCCTTCATTAACTGTAAAATTACACAAAGAAGGAGCGAAAAATGATGACAGAGTGCGATCTAACAGAGACAGAAAGCGGCTTGCCTGCGCTGGACACCGGGGCGGCAGCGGCAGTGCCCGAACTGGACTCGAACTTTCACTCCACGGGACCCTTGAAGGTGTCATTTGACAACAGTAGAAGAGGACTGGGATTCGTGGCCAATCCCGGAGTCGCGGTCCGTATCTCGGACTCTCGTGAGAGCGTGTTGACCGAGCTCGAGACGGACGGCTCCGGCGAAGAGGCGCTGTTGTTACCCTGCTTAGCAGGAAGCTCGACGTCTCCGAAGGGCGCCCGCGACAAGAGGAGCAGGCGGAACAGACACAGCTCGTCGTCGGATAAAGACACTTTGGCTTCCCCTGGTAATTATTTAGACTTAAACGTAGCTCCCGCATGTTATGGAGAGCAAGAAATGTCGTCCTTACTCCGTGGCATATGGTTGTAAGTGCTACTTTTATTTTTTTTTAAGAGATAACAGTGAATGCAACGTGGGCAAATCGATGTAATGTTATGCAGTCACTCAGGAATATTGATCCAGTATCATCCGACCGAGCCCTACGGGATTTTAAAGGCCCGATATTTTATGCATTTCCATTGTTGTTACGTCTAGTCAAGACACAGTTTTAATAAAGTTTCTAAACTTTATTAAAACTGTCCTTTTGACTTCACTGGTTATTTGGCTCATTGCAAATCCTTTGGGAGTTGATTATAATCGCACGTCTAGCACTTTGCACCTTTGAACTGATCTTTTGTTATTAACCTGTAAATGATGTCACCCTAAAGATTATGTATCTGCTATTCTACAAAATTAAAACACTACAAGGCGCAGCATGGCTAAAAAAGGTTTCATGTTGTTTTCATGGTTTAAAAAAAACATTTTGTTGAGTTGTCAAAAAATAATGTTGGAGTAACCATAGATTTATCTGGCTGATTGGTGCATAGAGTCAACAAACTGTGCCCCTCTCCCAGGTGTTGCTGAAGGAAACATGTGTCTCTACATATAAAGCAGTTTCTATGTCAAAAACATAAACAGTCACCATGTAGATAGTGAAGGAACATGTTTAGGAAACACCATGCTTGTGAAGTGGAATGGTGCAACATGATATTCTGCAAAATAAACAGAATATACTAAATTTATCCGGCGTTCTGGGCCCCACTACTCTCTGCTAGCTTTTGCCGCTCTATCTGTATCTATATATATATATATAGATATCTATATCTATATATAGATATAGATATAGATATCTCTCTCTCTCTCTCTCTCTCTCTCTCTCTCTCTATATATATATATATATATATATATATATATATATATATATATATATTTTATATATATATATATATATATATATATATATATATATATATATATATATATATTCATCAGGTGGGGACAATTTAGACAGGTGGGGACAATTTAGACGAGTCCCTCAAACTATCCAAATATAATTTTGCTATGCAGAGTATGACTGAAGTACTTGAAGAATAATCTTCTACCAAACAATTTATCCAGGCAAATACAATGTTTCAAAGATGACTGCAACCTGAAGTGCGGCTCTACTCGGGGGTCTATTCTGTATTTTTGCTTCGGTCTAAAGGTGGAAAGCAAAATTACAAAGTTAGGACTTTATTTTATAAACAACTGGTTACCCATTTTGTACATTTTTGTCCTGCTGATACTGTTCTTTAGGTCGCTCCAATTTCTATTTTTGAGAAAAATATCTTTATTCCTACTTAATTGAATTAGCTTAGCAGTGCAATGTTTCAAATAGATTGTCTTTTTTTGGCCAATTCGTATGTCCAACTTTCTTGACCTGTTGAATCCAACTTTGTTTCAAGGGCTGTTGCTCATAAAACAGTCAAAATGTGATGCAGTGTTTTGAGAGAGGTAACATTTTTGAGGACTCCTGGGAATGAAAGGATTTGTTTATCCATCTTAGCATATGTCCTTAACATTCATCAGATTTAGTTTTTTCTCAAAAAATTGCATTGCAAGTGTGTTCCTTCAGCTCTGTCATTTCTTCAAAGTTATG